CTTTACTGGATCTATGGTACTAGCCAGCGGTTTAAAACTTTTGAAGCTAATCGAATTGCAAAGATACAAGATTTGATACCACCACAAAGATGGAAGCACGTTGATGGTTTACAAAATCCAGCGGACGTCGGATCTCGTGGTATATTAGCAAAGGAAATTAAAGAACACCCCCTCTGGTGGACTGGTCCAGATTGGCTTAAGCAAAATCAGTCGAATTGGCCATCGAAATTTACTGCACCTCCTTCACTGGAAGCTCTCCAATCGCTGGGTGTCACGAAAGACTGCTTACAACTAAAAGAGAAAGAAGAAGTTACTCTGCAAACAACGACAGATACAGCCTCGACGGAGCCTGTGATTGACATTACTCGATATTCCAGTTACATTCAACTCGTGAGAGTTACTGCCTGGGTATTTCGTGTGGTCACCCGTTCAAACCTATTCAGTTCTACACCACTAGCAGTGTCTGAACTATCCAAAGCTAAAACTTGGTTGATTAAACAAGCCCAAGCTCAAATGTTCCCAAACACTATCAAATTGTTAAGAAAGAAAAACCTATTACCATTGTCGGATCCCTTGCAATCATTGAATGCCTTCTTGGATAAAGACGGATTATTAAAAGTTGGTGGTCGTCTTTCGCAGTCAATGAAAGATTACGAATCTCAGCATCCACTGATCCTTCATGGAAAGCATTATCTGTCAACCTTGATCGTACAGAGTGAACATAAACGATTGTGTAATGCTGGTCCAAAGCTTACTTTAGGATCTCTTCAGGATACCTATCACATCATTAGTGCACGTAGAGTCGTTCGTAAGTTGATACGTGAGTGTGTAGTGTGCAAGCGAGCATCTCCAAAGATAACAACTCAACTGATGGGTCAACTTCCGTCAGCACGTGTTTTGCCCACCTTTGCCAATGAGAGAGTCTCAGTAGACTATGCTGGACCGTTTACACTAAAGATAGGATCAGTTCGAAAGCCAACGTATCGTAAAGCCTATGTAGCAGTTTTTGTTTGCCTCGTAACCAAGTCGTGTCACATCGAATTAGTATCAGACCTCTCGGCGGAAGCATTCCTTGCCACACTTCGTCGCTTTGTTTCTCGAAGAGGAAAACCCACGCAGATTTGGAGCGATAACGCGGCTTGTTTTCGGCGTACGGATAAAGATTTAAGGGAACTTTATCGACTACTTCAAAGACCAGATATGAAAGAATCTGTTATGAACTTTTGTTCGTCCCAAGGCATCCAGTGGATGTTTAGCCCTCCCACCGGTCCTCATCATGGTTCTGTTTGGGAGAACGGGGTAAAGTCCTGTAAACGGCACTTGAAGCGAATAGTTGGGGAAACCAAACTAAACTTCGAAGAAATGACAACCACCCTCTGCCAAATCGAAGCCTGTCTCAACTCTCGTCCACTGATACCTTCGCTTGATACAAATGATGATGATGGAATATCTCCACTTACTCCTGGGCATTTTCTAATTGGACGTCCTTTAGAAGCTCTACCTAGCCGCATTTATAAAGAGCCCATTCTTGGTTTAAAAAGATGGAAACTCTGTCAAGCATTGACGCAACATTTCTGGAAACGATGGTCTGCTGAATATCTCAATGGCTTACAACGATTTAACAAGTGGAAAGTTCCAAAACGAAACTTCAACTAGATGATATTGTCCTCGTTAAAGACAATCGTACACCAACTTGTCAATGGCCTCTTGCTCGAGTCACAAAGGTTCATCCTGGTCCAGATAAACTTGTTCGAGTCGTTACTGTACAAACGAAGACTGGCACCTTCATCCGACCGATTGTGAAGTTATGTTTACTTCTACCAGCGAAGGAAGTGCCGAAGAAAGATGATGAAATGAAGTGAAGTAATGAACAATGAACAAACATGCTTAATTAATGCCTTTACCTAATTTGCATATTGCTGACATATGCAAATTAGGCAAATGCATCATTAAGCATGCAAATAGCTGATTTTTCGGGAAAATTGTAACTTTGCGTGAATAGTCAAGGGGCTTAAGCTAAACCAAATTGTCTGAAATTGTGTACAGTAATTAAAATCCCGACAAATTTTCCATCTGTTCACTCAAAATATGATTGCAGCTTTTAAATTTTGTGCGCGAGCCATTTTTTAATTTGTTGGAAAAGACACCCCCCCCTGGTTCACAAAATTTGAGTTCGAGAAATTTTTCTCATTATTCTACATTATAAGTACTCAAAGAGGCTATATATATATAAAAACCGGATACAAATAGCTGTTTTGCGAAATTGAGAGCAGTTTTTTTTATACACCCTGTATAGCCACAATTCGTTTTGAAAGCAGGCAAAAACTCTAAACAGAGCAAGAGGCTGAAGAGAAAAAAATAAATTAAAACATGAAGTCAATACTTTTTATTCTGCAAACGCACAATAACTTCAAACAAAATCTAATGTTAAGTGACAATTGTTTTCTTTTGTTCATGCATTCACGTTGCATGCCAAACCCTCAGTCTCCTCAGTATCTTTTTTGGAAAGAAACAAGGTTGCAATAATAAGGGGATGGCCAATAATAAGGGAGTGGCCCATATAACTATTATCACTGTAGTGTATAATAATATATTAATGGTAGCGTGCCATTCTCAGGGCCACGTTTCTCCGTAGCGAGAATGGTTGTACAAACTTCAGAAGCACATAGCATTGGTCACCCGAGACCTTGGCCGCGCTCGCCCTTGTCCTAACTAGAGCAAAGGTTTCTTAAGGTAGACTCCCTAACGCAGTCACGGGGACTTCTTGCATCGGGATTGTGAACTAAGGGTGACTAATGCTGAATTCTCAGTTGTTCGAACTATCGATCCCCCGGAATATATTAAAGCAAGGTCGTAGGGTTCAGAATAATAACGTCCACTTTGACACTCGTGCAAAATACTTGAGCAACAGTGTTAATGCACATACCTGTAAAATGTTGCGACGCCATTAATTGCTGTTAGTATTGCAAGCAAAACGATAATTTTTCCAGAAATTGCGTGCCACTTTGCAACTTGTGACCGTGGACCATCTGGTAATCTGGGGAAGAGAAAACTGATAAATCCACCAAACAGCTGAAAGAAAATAATTTTGAATTAGTTTAGCAGTGTATCGAGTCGTCATGAAAAAAACTTTTTTTGTTTCTAATGTTATGCACTCAGGTGAAGATATATGTTTGTGATATTGTCTCAGAGTACAGTGTCCACACAGGGCAAGCTCAAAAGTTTGCTTGATAGTGGTGGGAATCGAAATGTGTCGAATCCGATGAATCGAATTTCGCAGTGTGTACAGTAACAAGGGGGAATTTCGTTCTCGACCAATCAGCGCTTTTGTTTACATTTTTGCCCTAAGCCAATCAGAATGCGTAAAACGCTTCATCACATGAAATTTGTAAACAAACATATGGGGTTACTTCAGAGCTTTGCTGCAAGCGGTTTTTTGTTTTTTTGCCATGAAATTCATATACGTTGTTCTTAAAAGAATTCTCCTCAACTTCCTCGTGGCGATTTTTGATTAATTGCGTGATTGCGAAGATATGGGTCTTCGGACTTTGCGTTGCGCAGGCTTAAATACCACCCCTCGAATTTGTAGGTTCCGAACGGATTAGCGTTTTTAAAAGCCTTTCAAATCGAGGTTTGAGAGGTTTTATTTTTTAAAAGATACTTTTATCTTCATATTTTCACATTAACTTATTAATATCCTGTGTAACAAGTTTAAAACAGGGCATTTCCGGGCCGGGACAAGTTGACATGTCGATTTCTTGCCAAACAGCG